GACTAATCATTATGCAAATTAGGTAATTAGTATCCACGGATTATTACCAAAAACTAATCAAAACCTAGCATTAGTTCAGAGCATCTATGTACCAAGTTTCATCAAAATCCAATGAGTGGTTGTTTAGATATCAGTGGAACAGTCATGGAACCACTAAAAAATAGCTAATTATCATGCAAATTAGGTAATTAATATGCACGGATTTTTACCAAAAATTAATCAAATCTGCGCATATGTTCAGAGCATCTATGTACCAAGTTTCATCAAAATCCAATGAGTGGTTCTTTAGATATCAGTGGAACAGTCATAGAACAGCTAAAAATTAGCTAATTATCATGCAAATTAGGTAATTAACGAGCATGGATTTTTACCAAAACCTAATCAAATCTGCGCATTGGCCCAGAGCATCTATGCACCAAGTTTCATCAAAAACCGATGTATGGTTCTTGAGACCGCAGTGGAACAGTCGGACACACATACACACACACATACATGTACACACATACACACATACACACATACAGACACACTAACTGCAAAGACTCCCATTTTGTGCTTCGCACATGGGAGTCAAAAACTAATTGGGTGTCTGCATAGTTCTCTTTAAAAGTTTCATTAAAATCCAATTCGTGGTTTTTTATATATCAGTGGAACATTATGCAAATTAGGTAATTAATATCCAATTAAAACTAATCAGGTCTCTGCATGGTCCTAGAAGATCTATGTAGCAAGTCTCATTGAAATATGATGATTAGTACTTGAGATATCAGGCAAAAAGCTGAACATTAACTAGTTACACAAATTAGGTAATTAATATCTACTGATATTACCCTAAAAACTATCAGGTCTGTGCAGTGTCCTATGATATCTATGTACCAAGTTTTATTGAAATGTGATGATTACTACTTGAAATATCAAAAGCTGAAAATTAATTAATTATGCAAATTAAGTAATTAATATGTACTCCTATTACCTTAAAAACTATCAGGTTTGTGAAGTATCCTATGACATCTATGTACCAAGTTTTATTGAAATTTGATGATTAGTACTTGAGATATCAGTGGAAAGCCCAAAAATGATTAATCATTATGAAAATTAGGTAATTAATATTGCACGGATTTTTACGCATTCAAATCTGCGCATTAGAGTGGAGCATCTATGTGCCAAGTTTAATCAAAATCCAATGAGTGGTTCTTTAGATATCAGTGGAAAAGTCATGGAACAGCTAAAAATCAGCTAATTATCATGCAAATTAGGTAATTAATATGTATGGTTTTTTACCAAAACCCAATCAAATCTGTGCATTGGCCTAGAGCATCTATGCACCAAGTTTCATGAAAAATCAATGAAAGTCAAAAATTTGATTAACAAAGTGAAATGTCAAATAAAACAAAAATACACTGATCATTGGCGATCAAACATGATGATATCATAGGGTCGCTGCGGGCGTGCGGTGCAAACATCGGTGATTACGTCGCTCTGTATTTTGTTTGTGTTTTCTCGCCTGTTATGGTACTTGTGCGAGTTATTTAGAACGATGAACGTCGATGGAGTACGATATACGAATGCAGGCTCGTCTGGGGACTGTTTTGGTTCAGAATTCGCTTGTTTGTGGAATGAGAGAAATATCGCTATGCCCGAAGTGTTTTGCAAAGGAATCCAAGATGGCCGACACCCACTGAAGAACACGTGTAAATGGATAGTAGCGCTGATATCTTTATTGCTAATATTGTCTGGGGATATCGAATTAAATCCCGGGCCACCTAAAAGAGGGACAAAAAAGAAAACTAATTCAATGGAGTCGAAGAAAATCACCGAGGTATTTGGATCCCAGTCCGTAAATGGGGAT